CCTTCTTCTAGATTATGAAGAACAAAAGATTACAATCTCTCCCTCATAATCTTACTAGAATCGAGAACAACCTCTCAATCATCTCTAAACCCTAATACAAAGATTAGAATTTCTCTCTGATCTAAGATCTCTAAGATGATCATAAACTGATGTTTAGAAAATCCTAAACAACCTTTTATATAGGTGTACAAACGTGGATGGTAATCTGGTAAATAACCAAGCCCAAAACCAACAGGAATTCGTGTGAACAGAAACCCAAACGAATCAGGAAACTGTCGATGAGTCGACTCATGACTGAGATGAGTCGACGACTCGTCCGAAGCTGGATAAAACACAAAAACCAGCAATGAGTCGACTCATAACTGAGATGAGTCGACTCATGACACATGGGTCGACTCATAACTGATGAGTCGACTAGTCAGAGCTGAATTGCTAACAGGGCTTGAGTTCTTGAGTCGACTCATGACAGGCATGAGTCGATTCAACCTGATGAGTCGACTCATGTACATGTATGAGTCGACACACAGGCTGAAATCTGGATTCTTCGAATCTGCTGCTTGTCGTCTCGTTCCACGCTTCCACCTGTGTTCCCCTGTACTGATTGACACAACTATTCTCATGCTATCATGAGAATCATCTATCCTCAAGCTCCTATGAGGATCGTTAAGCTCTCGAAGCAGAGAAGAAGATACACACGTATCAGATCATTTTGAACAAGCTGTGCACCAGAACTACCTTATGCTTCCATTGCTATAAACAGCAATGAACAAGTACTAATTATATATTAAACCATAACATATATCAATATGGAACGTAATACCTAAATCTCGATTTAGTATAAACAACAAGTACAAATTACAATGCAAGAAATCTGTATTTTCATTTAAAATATGAAATATGTTTTTTAATTAAGAATTAAGTGATTAGCAATTAAATATTTACATGTTTATAATTTATTAGTTAGCATGCTAATTACTATTTTAAGCTCTTTTTTCTAATTATACTAATTAATAAGTTGTTGCTCACCGACTTTGTTTTTCCTTTTACAGATTATACTTAGAGTTAACCAACAATGAGCAAGGATGAAGGATCAATCAAATTTTCCAACACAATTGCCAAAATAAATATCCATAATTCATTCATTAAATATGTATATTCATTTGTGTAATAATTCATTTGTGCATTGTTATCGAGACGCGCGTCCCGGGCGCGGGGCGCTGTGGGTTGGGGCAATTACGCCCCGCACCAGAGGCGGGACGCTGCACGCACTCGTGTGCGCCTCGTATGCGCCTCACACACGCTTGACACCTGCGTCATGTAATAGACTATTTCTTCTATTTTTTTTAAATAATTTACATATTACATATTTACATCATGTAATGGACTCTTTATTGCTAATTGCTAATCCATTTTTCATCTTTTCATGTTTAACCTATAAAAAGGAAACAATAATTAGTAATTTAGTATATTTGTTTGCTAATTGTAACTTCATTCTCTAATTAGCATGCTAACTAGAAAATTATGAGCATGTAATATGTAATTGTTACCTCCATTCTTTATCTTTTCATGCTAACTAGCAAATAGTAATTAAGAATGCTAACTAGAAAATTATGAACAATCATGTCTTTTAATCACTTAATTGTTAATTAAAAAATACATATATCATATTTTAAATAAAAATACATATTTCTTATTTGTTACTTGCTTGTTTTGTTTTATAGACTTTTGCTTATGTTGGAGATTATCTTGCGTTGTGATTTGTGGAAACTTATGAACTTCTCTATGTTATGCATACTAATTAAGACTCTTTCGTGATTTAGTCAGTGAAATTATATTTCTTGGTTTTTTTATGTGATAATTTATAAACATGTTGCTTATATGTTTCTTTGTCTTATGTTGGAAAATATTAGTTTGAGTTGTGCGCCTCAATTCAGTGAGGCGCGCTCATCATTATGCGCCTTGCGCATGGTGTGCGTAAGAGACCTTTGTGTCCCGCCTTGCGCCTTGCGCCTCGATAGCAATGCATTTGTGTAATAATTTATTTGTGTAATAATTTATTACCTAACAAATAATTCGTTGCCTAACAAATAATTCATTTGTGTAATAATTTATTGACTAACAAATTATTGACTAACAAATAATTCATTTGTGTAATAATTCATTGTCTAACAAATAATTCATTGCCTAACAAATAATTCGACTAACAAATAATTCATTTGTGTAATAATTCATTGTCTAACAAATAATTCATTGCCTAACAAATAATTCATTTGTGTAATAATTTTTTGGTAATAATTCATTGTCTAACAAATAATTCATTGCCTAACAAATAATTCATTTGTGTAATAATTTTTTGACTAACAAAATTATTGACTAACAAATAATTCATTGCCATAGGCCCATAACAAATTGAAATCTTAATATTCATAATTCATTTGTGTAATGTTAATAATTTATTTGTGTTAAAAAATGAAATTAAAATTGAAAAATATATTCATATGTTCAGAAATTAAAACTGTAATTGAAACTGAAATTAAAATTAAAATTGAAATTTAAAAAAATAAAATACCAAATGAAGTGAGTCAGTGACTTGCTCAGTTGCTCACCAATCAGTAGTAGCACAAAGCTGCATAAACAAAAAAAAAGATAAGTCTTTAAAAAAATAAGTTAAGAGAGAGAGAGAGAAACAGAGATTGAGAGAGAGACAGAGAGAGATACGGAGATAAGAGAGGAAAATAAGTTAAGAGAGAGAGAGATTGAGAGAGGGACAGAGATAAGAGAGAACGAGAGGGTGAAATTGAGAGAGAGATGGATAAATTGAGAGAGAGAGAGACGAAAATATTGAGAGAGAGGAGAAAGAGAATCAGTTCTTCGGCTGGAGGAGATCGACAACGACAAGTTAGAGATCTCACCTAGCAGCGACGAATGGAGGAGATCGACGACGACGAGTTTCGGGTGGAGGAGATCGATGACGACGAGCTTCGGGTGGAGGAGATCGACGACGACGAGCTTCGGAGAAGACGTGATCGCTGGACGAGGCGGCGTCAAGAGTCAGGTGAGTGAAGTGACGACGACGAGCTTCAGAGAAGACACGATCGCTGGACGAGGCGGCATCGAGAGTCAGGTGAGTGAAGTGAAAATATCAGGGTTCCCTTTTGGGTTTGGGTTTTGGTTACGGGTTTTGTATTTTATTTTTTTAACAAATCCAAGCCCTGTCCAACTTTTTTTGACCGTATCCCCTTTAGTTGACCCGTTGACCCGTGTCGGACACGGATTGACCGTGTCCGACACGTGTCTTGCACGTGTCATGCACGAATCCGTGTTTGATTCGTGTCAGACACGGATTCGTGGTCTCTGGGGAGTATCCGTGCTTCATAGGCTATAAGTTTAATCTCAACGAATTACATGCCTTCATTAGTTGAGTCAGGGAGGGTACTTTTAGACCTTTTGTCTAACAACTGGTATCTGAGTCCAGATTATGCCCATGAGAGAGTCAGGTCAAATGATCCTGCAGTTGTTGGATTGAAGGCCCATGAGTTTCTATGAGATCATGAACATGAATGGGAGATTTTCTAATGATTCATATCCATCAAAATTGTACATGTTGGCAACTTTAGTAAGTTTGTACCTATAAGTTTATTCTTTTGAGCTAGAGTCGGTCAGCTCATAGCAGGTTTTCACCGACTCCCAAGGGCTCAATTTGTGATAACATGTAGCACTAGTAAAATATCTGCAAGACTAGTCAAACTTTGTGCATAAGTTAGAGAAAAGGAATGTATTAAAAAGGCTAGGACTTCATTTTTAGAAACTTTAGCTCTGTGTGTGTGCATGTGAGTGTGCGTGCATATGTGAACTTGTATGTCAAGCTTTCTCACGCGAGGAAGATGAGAATAGTGGGTGAGATAATGTTAAAGTTAACAGTGAAGGCTAAAAGATCCCCTAGGAGCACAGTTATTGTTTAAAAATTAGAAAGTTAAAAAAAGAATGTTTATCAAGAGAGTTAAAATAAGAGAGCTACAGACCTGATACTAATACTTTGAGGTTTGGCAGAGTTTGCAAACAGATATGCAACGAATTATATCCAATAGCAATTTAATTGGTCATATAAAAATCTTTGAGAGAGTAATCATAAAAGGCTAAAAATGGTACAATTAGTTTGTTTTAGAGGAGCAAGGCTACCTGAATGTTTATAAACTTTTTAAGACAGTTGATGGACATTTAGCAGAGAAGAAGAGTTATCTTCATATTTCTTTAATTGATATTGAGCTTAATTTTTTGACCATATAATATCCATAACATTTCAATCTACTTTTCTATTTATTGAGCATCACAGTAATGACTAACTAATATTACAAGCAGCTATTCATTATTTGAGTGTCAGAGAGTTAGATTGCTCTAGTGATTTAATTTCAGTCATACAAAGAAAAAGGTGAAATTTTGAAGCTTCAATCATCTGGGAAGGCAATCTTACAATTGTATAAAATTCAGGTTTGCAATATTGCGTATGATTTATAGGTTATTTCTTCAACTAGCTGCTGAAGCACATCTTCTGTGCAATTTTGTCCATGTTTAATTATGTGGTAATTAAAATATGACGGCAAATGTGATTTCACTTGGTTTGGGACTTGTGGTCACTGACTTGAATTTGATATATGGTCCTCTTATCATGTCAGGGAAATTCTCATATTCAGGTCGTCTAAAATGCTCATTTCTCTAGTGTCTCTTTTTTGTTGAAATGTAGATATCAGCTAATTTTAACTCGTGATATGATTCTTTTCTTGATTTTCTCTGGATTTTGTGGTAACACTCTAATGGGTATGCATCATAATTCTGGCCACAGTTAAGCAAATTGATATATTTTGTTTTATACCGCATAGTATTTTTACAACTAGACCAAAGATCTTATCCAGGATATTTTTGAATTAGATACATGAATACTTCTTTTCAAATCAGCTTATTGTTTTGAGCTATTATTAATCTCTTGGTCATAATGCTCCCAGACTGATGGTAAAGTGCCTAATACTCTTGTCGTTGCAAATGTTGAAGTGTTTAAATCAAGAGTTGCGGCAGCAGACCACTTGTCACAGGTTAGTTTACATAAGCTATTTGTTACTGGAGTCCCACAGTTCTTTAGTTGGTCTACAGGATTGTGGAAAGCTGAGATCTTGTGATTGCATGTGTTATTAACTTTAATTGACATGGGTTCTCAGTAATTTCAGTGCCTGAACTATTTGCTTTTCGGTGGAACTATTAGTAATTCACCTCCCATTTGGAAATTCTAAATCTTTGAATAGCACGATTTTTTGCTCTATTTCATTTAGAAGTATTTTGTCTCTTTTCAGATAATAACGTTGAAGCTATCTTTGTTTTACAGCAACACAACAGTACTAGGATCTAGTTTGCAAATTCAGCATCTCTCTGACAGAAGATTTTAAATGTATTTTGAATATTTAATTGTTTAGTGTTGCTGCTATGTTATGGTAAGTTGGTAACTAAACATGGTGTCTTGGAGTAGGCTGTTCGTTTTGTGTTACTGATGTGTATGCGTTTTTCCTAAAACCTGATCATTGTATATGACAACAAAGATTGAGAATCTGAAAGTTGCATCGTGCCTGAATTTGGTTATTAACTTATCAATATTATATATTTAGTAGAAGCCCCTTTTTGGTTCTCACATTTTAAAAAATTTCGAAAGTGCCCTTACACTTAGAAAAATGAAAGAAAACTCTATCACACTTACAAAAAACAACGAAAATGCCATCCCACTTGGAAAAATCCATGTAAATGTCTTGACTCTTGGAAAAATCAATGCAAATACCCTTACACTTGAAAGATTGAGAATCTGAAAGCTGTATAGTGCCCAAATTTGGTTATTAGCTTATCTATATTATATATGTCATGCCCCGAAACTGCAACCGAAATTCATAAATGCAGGTTACGCGACAGTTTCATATACACGAGTCAAGCCTAACACTTCATATCACATAGTTTATCACAAAATATTTATAAACTTGCCGATGATAGAAGTTCAGAGCAACTATATATATGTATATAATCGATACTTACAACCCACAAGCTCACCGTTATAAGCAATTTACTAAATAAAGCACATTGTCGATTGTATGTAACACCAAAAAGGAAGCTTTTCATATAACGCCTCTCAGCAAAGCGCCACAACCAAAGTTCGGCTATTATGCAGCTACGCCAAATCTGAAAATTTTAACAACGGGGTGAGCTAGGGCTCAGTGAGAATATTTCCCATCAGAGTTCCTAGATAACTAACAAAATAATAATAAGAATAATTCCCAGAAATAACGAATTATCAGTTTTGCACCAGAGATCCAAAAATAGCAAAATACGATCCAAAAATTGTAATATTGTCATCTTCAAGAAAAAATACAACAGTTATATTTTCTTTCTTATGTGCAACTGAATATACTGTAATATTTTTTAGAATCAGACCCTTTTTGAATCAAAGTAAACATTAAGAAAGAAAAAAAAACTACTAAATTGTATAAAACCAGAGGATTATTATTTTCACAATTTCACAGTCAATTGTTAGAATCCTAAATCTCGATGAGTCATTCGTGAATGTGAATATTACCTCATAGGTCACACTAAGGCTACGAATTATAGCCCAGTAGCATGGGAATGCGTAAAAACACGTCACATAATAGATAATTTTTAAGAATCAAATGCACCTATCACTGCCATAGGTTACTGGCCAAATACAGAGGAGCCATAACAAATTTCAGAAGGGTCAATTATAAAAGGGCCAAATACAGAAGGGCCATACAGAAGGGCCAATTAAAGATGCATTCACCATATGGCAGACATAACACTTCATAGTGGACTTTCTGAGGATTTAAAAACATCGAGAATTACTTGTCAAATCAGAAATACCTTGCTTATCATAATTTACAAATATTTTCAACTGAAGTGGACGAGGGTTAAACTCATCATCCTAGTTAAAACAGTTTATGGATTTCACTTTTCTTTATTTTTATCGGATATTAAGTCATAGAAAATCTTTGAATCCATTAAGTTGTCGAAACGTGATCAAAATATTTTTTTTCTTCAAAAGCTTTCAAATAAAACAATATCTATAATTATATGAGATCGCGTAAAAACCAAATTCACTTTTTATTTTTTACATAAAACCAAAATGCCTTTTCATATCTTGTACGAAACTAACATTGTATTATAGGATACACCACAACAGAAATAGATTAAATCATTTAACTTTCATATACATGAAAATAATAGACTATTTATTTTTCGAGCACAAGATCATTCAAACATAGTACTATGTACTCATGCAATTTTATATTGTAAAAATACTAGTGAGAAATGAACTCACCTCTAGATGATACGACTTCTTCAAAATATTACTCCCCTGGATATCAACCAGATCCCTATAATATAAGATATAAGACTAATATTAATTCATGACAATACATATTATAGGTTAATCAATACATAATCTAGAGCCAATAATTTCATATATAATCAATAACAATTAAAATCTATAAATAGGGTATATATGGGTTTATTGGTAACTTATGATAAGGCGGGGGGTTATAGGTAATTAATCCAGCCTAAAAGTTATATTTTATTCTTCGGATTGGACTTGTTTGTAAACAAAGCAAATAACAGGGGTCTATACGTAATTATCTTGTTCATATATGATCTTAGATTCCCCTGTTAGGGTTTATTTGCAAAGTTAAAATAATCTAGGGGGACTTAATAAATATTTCCTCCCTTTATATTGTTTATATCTGATCTTCTTCTTCATCCTTCCTTTCTTTTTCCTTTTTTTTCTTCCGTTCCTCTATCTCTCTCTCTCTCTCTCTCTCTTCAACTGGATCGTTTGAGACTCTCTCTCTCTCGCCATGGCGGTAGGAGGGCGGCAGAGGATCGTCGGCGGCAAGACTCCCGCCGGATCTAGGGTTAGTAACTTTTTTTTTTCCAGTCCATCACATGCATCTTAAACACATAAAAAAATTCTTTTTAAACCCTAGTTTTTTAGTTCATAATCATAATAAGTTATCATCCTCACTCATTCTATTTTGATTCGATTTACTAAGATTTAATATGAAATTTAAAAGTGGATTATACCTTGGGATCCTGATTTGTTGCCGTGATCTTCGTTTCTCCCTTCACGATCTTTCTCTAGTTCACAGAGGGTTTGGTTGAGGATTGTTTGCGTCAAAAGTTGCTCTCGTTGTGGAATTCATTATATCTTCAGTCGATTACAATAAATTCAAAGGAATAGTCTTTTTATAAGACCTCTTTTACACAACAAAATAAAAATTATAACTTTTTAGAAACAAACGCAGGATCATTGTTTGGATCGCTGCTTGCGTGGGATCTTTGCCTGTGCCGTGAGTGCTTTGGCTCGTTGACCACCGATTCAAAGATCGTGAGGGTGCTTAGGGATCTCTCTTTCGTTTATCGAAGTAAAGATTTGAAAACGAATATCTTATCGATGTAAGATGTCCGTTCTTCCAAAGATCAAGTCTGAGCTTAGATCTCTAGGAATCACCGAATGATGCTTGTCAAAGGGTGAAAGTTCTCTCTCTTCTTCAAAATCACTGAAAGCTCAAGCCTCTTCTGCTCCAAAATGCTCTCTGTCCTTTATTTCGTGTGTAGGGAGGTATTTATAGGGGTCTCAGTGCACCACAGTTGAAACGGGGACGAAATAACTGACCAAGTGCTTTCTCTTTGGCCGCTGCAGTCTACACTGCCGCGGCTATTGGCGCGGCAGTATAGGCTGCCGCGGCCAAAGAGACGGTTATCAGCACGTTCCATCATGCTTGAAACCGCTCTCTCACGACATTTAATCACTTTTTTCGTGGTTTAACTGCTTGTCCATGTCAGCACACGTTCTATTTCTGGTATGCTGCCACGTAGGCCTCAAAAAATCATCATATAATTGCCTTGTAACCGCCACAACACTCCTTTAACATAGCCGTGGTACCCTAGGTGCAGCTCGGGCCTAAGCCGCGACACGACAGGCGGTCGCGCCTTTAGCCGCTGGCCCTATTGTGCTGTCGCGCCTTAGCCGCGGCACTATGTGCTGTCGCGCCTTAGCCGCGACGCCATGGGCTGTCGCGCCACCTTGTGTTGACTGATGACGTGTAAATTATTTTCCCATATTGTTTTTGGGTGGTATTTGGATGCCTGCAAGCATTTTTCAACGCCTACAGATACCCCCTCCAAAGTATCTCAGACTCATCATTTTTTTAGAGAGGAGTCTGGGACACTTTGGATATGATAAGCTTTCTTTGCAATTTCTCCAGTGCTTTGTTGAGGAAGTTGCGTAGAATGATCTGTGAATGGCTTCAATCCTTGACTTCTTTATCTTTTAGTCTACTCAGTGCTTTGTAGAATAGCTAAGATTCCTCCGGTGCTGCGTTTATCACGTGACCGTCGTCGAAGTCTTGAATCAGAACTGTTGTTGAAGAATAGAGAAATAGTTTATACTCATACGCTCTATTGGAGTGTTCGGGAAATAGTTTAACCTCATATACCTGTTGGGAGGTAGTCAGGTTATTCTTAAGAATAGTTTGAGTAATATTCTCCAGAAACTTCCTGTTGAGGTTAGGAAAACAGTTTAGACTCGTGCACCTATTGGAGTAATATGGTCTCTTTTTTGTTGGTAGAGATAAACCCGAAATCGGAGAGGAAGAATTTTATATTCTATCTCCTGGTCTCTTGTTTGTTGGTAGAGATGAACCCGGAATCGGAGAGGAAGAATTTTATATTCTATCTCCTGGTCACTTGTTTGTTGGTAGAGATGAACCCGGAATCGGAGAGGAAGAATTTTATATTCTATCTCCTGGTCTCTTGTTTGTTGGTAGAGATGAACCCGGAATCGGAGAGGAAGAATTTTATATTCTATCTTTTGGTCTCTTGTTTGTTGGTAGAGATGAACCCAAATCGGAGAGGAAGAATTTTATATTCTATCTCCTGGTGCAAAAGAAATTCAAAGTGGGATCTCCACTTAGAAAATCTAGACTGGTTTGAATAATCCTAACTGTCATAAGGTTTGGTTATTCAGTTCAAAAGTGGACCTTTCGTTCGT